TTTGGCGGTCGAACGACCCTTTCACAGGGGTCACCTAAGACCATCCTGCATATCAGATATTTACATGATGATTCATAACAGTGGCAACATTACAGTTATGAAGTAGCAACGAAAATAATTTTATGGTTGGGTCACAACATGAGGAACTGTATTTAAAGGGCCAGAAGGTTGAGAACCACTGGGATAGAGGAACTAACTTTTACTGAGCACTTAGTAGGAACTTTACAGAGCCAATTACGTTGTCACCCTCTGTGTGAGCCAGCTGAGGCTTAAAGAGGTGACATGACAAGTTCACACACAATGGGATGCAGAGCAGGTTCCCAGCCCAGGTCTGTCTGCCTCCCAGGGCTGTACTGCTACCTGCCTCCCGCTCCTCACCAGGCTACCCCTAACGCCTAAGACTTCAGTGGTTCTCAACCTTCTGGCCCTTTAAATACAGTTCCTCATGTTGTGACCCAACCATAAAATTATTTTCGTTGCTACTTCGTAACTGTAATGTTGCCACTGTTATGAATCATCATGTAAATATCTGATATGCAGGATGGTCTTAGGCGACCCCTGTGAAAGGGCCGTTCGACCGCCAAAGGGGTCGCGACCCACAGGTTGAGAACCGCTGTCCTAAGTGGAAGGGAGCCTCTCGCAGCTAGTGAGTGGCTCAGCGTCAGTGCAGAGGGGAAGCTACAACGGGAGGGATGGTCTTACACTTTTTCTTGGGGTCTTCTTTCTACACCAATTCTGTACACCATTTTTTTGTGCATAACAATTATGTGCTAGGTTTGTGCTTACATCCTTCTGAGGTAGCAGGATCTGAGGTTTGAAGATAAGTCCTTGCTCAAGCCAGTGCCTGCTAGAGCCCAGCTGGTGGGTGCAGGGCTGTCCCCAGCACTGTGTGCGGGTTCTGCTCCCCCCAATTCTGGGTCTTCTTCATGGCTGGGTGGGGAGCAAGAAGTCCTGGGCCTGCGTGTCTCAGAAGAAGGAATCTCAGAGGAAAAACAAGAGCAGATGGGGAAGACGCCTGGCTGCCCGCCCCCCACGGCTTCCTCCCACTTGACAGGGGACCTTTGACCAAGTGCAGAAGATCCCAGGCTGATGGGGGCAGGGAGTGGAGCTTTTTGAACGGAAGAAACTCTTTTCCTTTTCTAGAGAGGCTTTGGGTAATTCCACTCCCTTTTCTCGCCAAGCTTTATCTCTGCCTAAGAATTCACACAAGTCCCCAGGGGCCTGCTACACAGCTGCTGCCCCTCCTCTCTCCACTGGTAGGTAAGAACTGGGTCAGTTTCAAAATGCTCTCTTTAAGTAAGCATTTCGTCTGAGCATTCGTCCTGGCCTAGGGACAGGACCTGCAGGGGCTGGGGGTCCTAGGGGGTGAGCTCCCCATGGGGGACTTTTCTCTGCCCCAGTGGAGGCCCGGAGAGAAATGAGCAATGGCTGGGGTAGCCAAGGGGCAGAAGGCAGAAGAGGAGGTTAAAGGGACCTCCTGCTGCCCATGTGCCCCAGGGCCAGCGCTGTTTTCCTGGGGTGGTGGGGGGGTGGGGAGGGTGATTTCCAGCTCCAAAAAAGGACTGGCAGGCAGAGTGCCTTGGTGGAGAAGGACAACTAGGAGAGGAAATTAAATGTATCGCATTTGTTGCGCCCCTACCTTGATCCCAACTAGTGCCCTGGGCACAGGTGATAGGGATGCAAGCTTTACCCTGAGGGACGAACAGCTGAGTCAGGGAGACGCAGACTCCCGTGTGATGCACCCTATGTCCCGACAGCAGGTAGGGACTGCGACTAAGAGCAGGGGCAGCACTCTGCCTGCTGTGGGTGGGGGAGGCTTCTAGAGAAGAGGACAGTTGACCAGGGTCTTGAGGGATGAGTAGGAGTTTGCATGGCAGAGGGTTTCCAGCGTGCATTCTGGGCAGCGGGAAAAGCCAGCTGGTGGGGGAAACAGCACGTGTCCGTGGGAAAACTCGGGTGTGGCCAGAGTATAGAACTCAGGAGAGAAGACACGCAGGGGCTGGGCACCGAGACTTGTGGCATGTAAGGTGAGTGTGGACGGCGATGGCACAAAGCTGGAAGGCTCGGGCGCAGAGGGAATGGGACTGGAGAGATGACTGGCGCCGTCCACAGGAGGAAACCCCGGTGCCCACAGGGTGCAGGACCAGGGCGCCCGCAGGGTGCAGGACCAGAGTGCCCGCAGGGTGCAGGACCAGCCGAGGCTTGGCTCAGCCCAAGGGCACCACTGCGGGGGGCCTCTCCCCGGGGGGCAGG